AATTTGAATGTTATTTTATATTATGCCTAGGCAATCTTTATAATTCCCAGGATTTTTATAGAATGCCAATACTATGTTAGGTAATGTGTTAAATCAAAATATGTTTATTACTACCTATTTATTTTTTATTTATTTATTTATTGCATCATATTATAGAATATAGATGATTCATGAAATTTCGAACTGCATAAAATATTATACTTTACACTCATACATTTGAMATTTTTTCTTGCATGTACATTTTATAAAACCTTGTCCAGTTTCTKTAGATTRTTGAGTTGCAATTGTACGTAAAGCAAATGTATTTTCTCTTGGAACTTGGTCATTGTTATTAAATTTTTTTGGCATATTGTGAATTGAGCCCTTAAATATAAAGATTTTAAAAGCCCTTCCTTAGTCCCTAATCTATAATAGTATAATACCCATCAACTGTTACCTGCAAAAATATTTTTAATTATCCTAAAATAATAAAATATAAATTATTGAATTACTATATAATATGCATTATTTTATGTTTACCTCTATAACAACATCTAAAATATTTCGACCATGGCATATTTCAAATATGGGACTAATGTGAAGTTTTATATTAACTATATTTATATACTTCTCCTGCTTAAAGTTAGGTAATCTATAAAATATCTAGTTATTGTGTATATTTTATASYGTTCATGCTCRTTTTTGGCGTTCTATAGAATACCTAGGATTTCTCTATAATACCGGATTCAACACTTTGCCGGTAACATATACAATTTCAAATGGTTTATAAGTTCCTAACAGTATAGTTACCTATGTGATTTATATCATGAATAAAATAATAAATWATTTATTTAAAACAAAATACACTTACACCCTGAGGTATTAAATACAAACCAATAATCAGTTGTTTTCAGATGTTAAATAAAGATTTTTATGTATGTTATGTACCCACATATTAAAATAAAATAATGTTACAGATTTACAAATTAATAGTCATGGCATTTTGTTTTTGTCTASCTATAAACATGATGGGACACGTTAAATATAAAATGTAAAAACTTTTGTAAGTATTCTGTTATTACATTGATCAGTTCTGTTCTAAATATATTAATAAAAATTATTGTTGATAACAATATCTAGTATATAACCATTATTTTAATTAGGTGACAGAGACATTGCCGCCCTCAAAAATCTTCGAAATGTATTTCAAGTGATAATTGAGTGAACATGGACTTTGTTGTGATGGATATTTTAATAATCCATTATATTATATATCACTTGTTCAATAAACAATTACTTWTATTATATTCATGGGTTTTTGATGAAAACTTAGAAACTTTGGGAGAAATAGGATTATTTCAAGACTAAAAGTTTGAAACTAGAGTCATTTTTTGTGATAATGTTATGGTTTTTTGGTTACTTATTTGAAATGTTCTTATGTTCACAGTTTTGAATGGTAAGTCTAAAATTAAATATTCAAGTATGAATAAATKAACTAAAAACCAAATTTAATTTTCTGTTTCATTTGACCAAAAAAGTTATTGTATTATTTATGATCTTAGATATTAAAATTAGTTTTATCATTTCTATTAATGTTACTTAAAAAAGTGTATACAGCTCAAATAATTACTAGGCTCAATTAAAATAAATGGATTAATTTAATCCACTTTTTATTAACTATAATAATTATTCTATTCATATTTTAGAATAATGTCCAGCATTCTTGATTTAGTCTAACTAAATTTGTCTAGGTTTCAAATGTACCTTCGTCTTAATTGTATTGTTGTGTTGGAACCAACATTASTTTGGAAAAATGTAATTAAATCTGGGTAATTGTTTCCATGCAGAATACTACTTAAATAATATTTATGTTAATGATGATAAATAATTATACATATATAGTTTTGCTTGTTCTGAATAATGGAGAACAAAACTAAATCGGTGACATTAATATTCAGGCTTTCTGCTTGCTCACTTTTTTATTTATTTTTATTATGGTTTACATTATRTCATTTAATTGCTATTTATTAGACTTATGGTTAGTGTAAAGCCTAGATATTGCATCTTTATTTTTGTTATTAATTTATTTGTGTTTTAAACTGAAATAGCTTTTGTTAAGTTAGTAAATATTAATATATCATGTTAAAATTGATAAGTTTTGAAATGTAATGAATAATAATTATAGTGAATGTATATTTCATCATACTCTATCCATGATTAGATTACTAATATTAATTTACATTTTTTACAGCTTGACCTACCTACCTGCCTATCTGTGATTTACTTGCCTTCAATTGCGAACAATAAAAAACAATTTTTTTCAAAGCCAACCATTAATTTTTTACAGCTTGACTTATCTGTGATTCAACTGCGATAATAAGAAACGGCTTTTCTCAAAGCCAACCATTAATTCTAATTTATATTTTATATATCTATTGTTTGTTAATTACTTTATTGAGTTTGTTTTAGCATAGACCTTCAGAAATGGCATTGAGAGACCATGATTATGTTATTCGTGCTAATCATGAAGTTGAAGTTGTTGTTCATGACCACAACTATGATCATGGCATGCCCTTTGTCGAGATAGGGCCCCAGCAAGTGGAAGAAGTTGAAATACCGCTAGAAGAAGATGAAGAACCTGTGGAAGTAGATGAAGAGCCTGTGGAAGTATATGGAGAGCCTGTGGAAGTAGACGGAGAGCCTGTGGAAGTAGATGGAGAGCCTATAGAAGTAGATGGAAAACCCGTAGAAGAAGATAGTGAACCCATAGAAGAAGATGGAGAACCCGTAGAAGAAGATGAAGAACCTCCCATTGCAGATATTGTAGTTAATGAAGTACCACAAACTTACACAACACTTCCTGGAATTCGGCRAAATTCAACAATTTATGTAGACAATTTGAAATATAAATATTACAAACGTGAGTTCCTGGTCAACACCATATCACTAGTGTGTGAAAGGCAAAAAAATCGTAGACATCCAATATGTTTTGGTACAGCATCAGTAAGTAGGAATATTATGGACAACAGAATTGTCCTCCTTAACCCTCACAATCACCAGCCCAGTGATATAGACTTAAATGTACCATACTTGAGAGAAGCAATTAGTAATAAGGGACTAAACCGAACAAATACAACAGCATCTGTTAGAAYTATTTATAACAATGAAATCATCCAGTGAGTTGTATATTATTTACCCTTCATTGTTTATAATCATTTGCTCTTTAACATTTGAAAAAACATTGTCATTTTTTTAAAGATATATGTTTACTAATCTAATTATGATCCATGTGGTTTTAGACATGCCGAAGYTGCTCGCAATTATACTCATCTACAAGCTGTTAGAAGAGTAGCTGCGATGAGAAGTTTGGAAYGACCAACAATACCACTAGACCTACATGAACTTGCTGAAATATTGAACAATCCACAATATTCTGTTTACCCTCAAACTGTGCAAGTACCACCTTCAAGATTTYTTCAGCAGGAAGTAGTCATCAATGGAAGAAGCGTAGGAATTGTATTTGCAAATAGGGTTGCAATAGAACTTTACGGAGCAGATTTGAACAAAGTGACTATGGTTGGAATTTATGAGACATTTAAAAACTGTACCAAGTTGTCCAAGTGACTTGAAATGTCTCCTAACCTTTCAAGTGGTATTCAATAGTGTTGTAAGTATTTATTAATATTTCAATTCATTTTATTCCAACATTATTTTTTCTATTAAAGGCATTCCCTATGGTTTATGTTCTTTTGGGAAGTATGACAGAAGAGACATATTGTGTTGTACTTATGGTTATCAGACAAATATTACCCTTGGATTATGACAGAATTCGGTTTGTGACTGACTATGAAAGAGCATTGATGAATGCAGTCAGACAAATCTTTCCAACAAGCAGATTAGTGTGTTGTTGGTTCCATTATACTCAATCTATCGTACGGTACTGCCATAGAAAATTAACTAATGTTTTAAATTTAATTCGAACACACGATGCAGCAGCTCGGATTTTTGGAATGGTGATTTAATTAAATATATTAGATGTGCCATGTAATACTCTAATATTTTTTCTATTAGGTTTTAGCTCTACCTCACTTGCCTGTCACTAGAAACAATCCTCTTTGCCCAAATGTTTGTGTGTTAGATGGGTACAATGTCATCATKGAGTATACCAGACAGTTTCCTGAAATCCAAGTGGTTATGGAACAATTTGTAGAAAACTATATCCGTGGTTTTTGGATTGAGCAAATTGGGCCAGAAAGATTTAGTGTCTTTGGAGAGGATCACCGAACAAACAATTATTTAGAATCGTTTCATTCGACTTTACTAAAACAGATGGGTGCTCATCCTAACATTTGGGATTTCATACGTGAGTTATTGAAGTAGTTTCTTATGTATCTATGTTTCTTCCTACGTGTTTTTAAATTTATGTGTTCTATGTTTGTGCTAAATTTACAGATGAATCAGTGTTATACTAACGATATACGTAAGTTATTCATGTATTTGAAATACATCTTTAATGTTATTATTAATTGCTCATTTTACTGGCATTGATTGTCTAGTACAAAGTATTTAAATTTGCTTAATGAAATTTGTTATATTTAGTGAGTAGTGAGTACTATGTAATATGTTGTCAATGAAGCTGTTGTTAATATTAATTTAGTAGTATTGCATGAAACTAATCTTTGTTAATTTATTATATGTATTGTATTACTATCAGMGCGATTGTAGTAATTTGTATGCTTCAATTATGACATTAATATTCTGCTTAATTTCTTTAATTGCTAATGTTGTTTTGTTTCAATGAAATGTTTTACTATAATTTGAAATTTATTGTCACATGCTTATTGCTTATCTTTATAATTGACAGAGAGGTTGGTTATAATAGAAAATCAAGTTTTCATTGAATTTGGACAAAGGCAAAGAAACCTACAAGTTAGTATCTCAGTGTATCAATGGAATTTCATTGTTAAAAAACTAAATTATTTATTTAATGTTACAGATCAGAGATATTCGATCAAGGGCGGAAAGAGAGAACACCACTAGAATCATCAGAGAAAACATTCAACAACTCAATAGAGATCATGACATTATGGCATTCTTGAGGAGAACTGGACATCGTAATGATGGTTATGTTGGCCGTCAAATTGGACCATATCCGTGACATTTACAGATCCATTTGTTTCCTTTTGTTGGAAAAACTGATTTCATGAGAGATATTTGTTTGTACTGTGGAATAGTCCTAAGTTGGGAAACCACTATAAAAAAAAACGCGCCAAAATACAGTACCTCCAGTTTAGTTAAATGCAATGCTAAGGTGGTGTGGAAATCTGTAAAGTTTTGATACTTCTAAATATTCTAGTATATGCCGAACTTACATAACTGTGTAAGTCCAACACT